TATCTTCGATGTGCTGAACCACCCTCTTCTGATACTTTGACAAGCGGAAGAAGAAGCTCGGTTCAGACATCTTCTTCAGAGGAACGGCGGAGAGTGGATCTTTGTAGTCCCACTCTTGGGCCTCCTGCTCCGTGATGAACCTTTCTTCGCGCACTAAATACCAGCCCTCGTAGCGGTCCAGGTAGATGTCACCGACCTCCTTGCACTTCTCCCATAGCTTACGTGCAACCTCTTTGTGCCGCCCTTGTGAGGTGCGCACGTAGAAATCCTCGGAGGTGTTGAGACGCTGGTTGAGGGCCTGGAAGCCGTCGGCGTAACGGTCGACCAGCTGTTGGGGCGTAACGCCCTCATCCTCGGCTTTCTGGGCGATCTTCTGGCCGTGCTCGTCAGCGCCAGTCATGAAAAATACATCCTGGCCCAGAAGGCGGTGGTACCGCGCGAAAACGTCCGAAGAAAGGGCCTCGTAGGCGTGGCCTATGTGAGGCCACCCGTTCGAGTAATTGATCGCCGTCGTGACGTAATATCTGCCCTCAGGGCTCTTGTCGCTGCCGGGCAGGCATTTGTCGCTGACGGTGGTCGGGCCGCGCTGGGCCGCTGGCACGCGAAGCTCCTGGCGGGCACTTCCGCAACATCCCGCCTCTGATGCCTTTGGCGCAGGGGGAGGAGAGTGAGGATCGGGATCCAAAGGGGGGGGGACCCTCGGGTTGGGCATGAGTTCGATCCGCCGGTGCACCGAACTGCGGCAAACAGATGCCCCCCGCATGCCCCACCTATCGGCAACTATCGGGAGCTGCTGGAGGTACAAAAACCGATCGAACTCTCTCTCACACACACACACACACACACACCCGGGCACACACACCCTTTGCGGGATCCCGAGAGGAGGGGTGGGAGAGGGGAGTTCGACCTCCGCCCTGAAGGGAGGAGGAGGAGGAGGAAGAGGGGAAGCAGGAGGAGGAGGAAGAGGAGGAAGAGGAGGAAGAGGAGGAGGAGAAGGAGGAGGAGGGGAGACCCGGAGTTCGACCTCCGCCCCGAAGGATTCGCTTCTCATTTCTCCGTGGCTCCCTCCCCATCCCAACCACTCTGAAGGCCTCTGGGGGTGCTCGGGGGAGCGGGTGGCCCCATAGGGAGCTCCACCCAGGAGCCCCAGTGGCAACGCCCGCACGGCACCGCCGCACCCACTTCGGCACACTCCTCACACGCTTCGTGGCCCTATAGGAAGTCGGAGCTTGAACGGGTCGGAGAGGAAGCCGAGGTCGCAAAAGGGGCCTCGAACCTGGCGAGCCTAGGGCCACGGAGGCGCTCGTCGGGTGCCTGCCTGCCCTGGGTTTGTGCTAACGGGCGTGAGCTAGCCCAGCTCAGCGCAGACCTGGCTCAACCAATTCAGGAATGTTCATCAGTGTGGACCCAAACAGTTACATGTTGCACTGTGGATGTGTAAGCTACGCAGTGTGGTCTATGAGGTGTGATATGTGTGATGTGAGATGTTAGGTGTAAGCTATGTGGCGCAAAAGATGTGGTGCAGTCTGTGTGGTGCGCACTATGCTGTGCGCACTATACAATGCGATAGATGTGGTACTAGCTGCTACGTGGAGAGAGACGTGGTGCAACATATGCGGCGCAGTTTATGTGGGTCAGCTATGTGGTATAAGCTACGTGGTGCAATCTAAGCGGTGCAAGGTATGCAGCGCAGAAGATGAGAAATTAGCTATGTAGAGTAAGCTACGTGGTGCAAAAGGTGTGGTGCGAGCTATGGTGTGCGACCAATGTGGTGCAAGCTATACGATAGTTTTGTCATCTTGGGCCCCGAAGACCGACTTGAAGTCTTGAGCAAACGCACATGAGATAACCGACGTCGGATCCCATGAAGTTCGGGCGGATCCAATTTCCGATTTGGGTGGTTCCGATTTCCGTCCGCGCGGATCCGATTTCGGATTTTCTCGATCCGCGTCCTACCCTATGTTTACGGCGGATCCGAGTCTACCCCGTTTAAAACGTATGTTCTTACATTAAAACGGGAAACCGGACGAAATTGGATCCGCGGACCCTGGGACCCGCCCGTGTGAAGATTCTACGGGGGAAGGGGTTTCGGTCATCAGCGTCCAAGGATGGGTCCTGTGCTGCCTCGTGCACTCCCATCAGCTTTCCGCGCGCGGGGGCCCCACTCAACATGAATGCGTCTCTCTCCTCCTGGACGAGCTGCACGCAGCTCGTCCAGGACGCCGTCTTTCGGCGGCGCCGATGTTATCTGTAGAGCTAATGATCACCAATGTCACCTCAAAAGGGAAACCTTTCGTCCTGCGTAAGTATGGTGCACTCTACGAAGTACGAGCTACGAAGTGTAAACTATGCGGTGAGATCTATGCGGTGTGAGCTACATAGTTTTCACACGGTGTGCCCACGAGCCAGCCACGAGTGGCAACGTGGCGAAACCTCAGCGGACCCACCCAGCGCACGCGCTGGCCACGAGGCGGCCACTGGCGGCAACGTGGCGAAATCTCGCCAGACCCACCCAGCGCGCGAGGCGGCCACGAGGCGGCCACGGACAGCAACGTGGCGAAGCCTCGCCGGACCCACCCAGCGCATGAGGCGGCCAGGAGGCGGCCACACGCGGCAACGAGCCGAGACCTCGCTGGACCCACCCAGCGCACGAGGCGGCCACGAGGGGCCCAGGGGCGACAATGTGGAAAATCCTCGCAGGGCCCGTCCAGCGAATCCCTAAGTGCAAGCACTGTTTGGGGAAGCATTGCGCTGCAGTTGTGGGGGGAGGGGGGCTTGGCAAACCAGGCCAGGCCCATAGGTGAGGCCACCTGTAGGGCCGCGATCGGCTCCCAACCCCGGCGCAGCCAAAATCCAGCGTTCCAGGATTCTGCAGGATCCGGCGCACTGGCTGAGCCCCGTTTGGGCACAATCCCGTTACCTGCTGGTTGATACCTGTGGCCCCTGCCGACCCTGATAGTAGGCGGGAAACCTATCCATGACCGCTGCCTCGCGGTACAGACTTCTCGGCCGCGGCCCCATGCGTACATGTCGGCCATGCGCTGCTGCTCCGCGCGGAGCGTATCCGATGGGATCATGCACCCATGGATCGCGCCACACGGTGTCCAGGCGCGAGGGGATGAAACTTGATGCGTTCGGCGCTCGTGAGCGTAGCCCCTACCGGCTCTGATAGGCAACCACATGCGAGCCATACCCCTTCAGGGCAGATTTCAGAGATGCCGGCTGGGGGGCAGAACCCGAAGGCTTGCTGCAGCCACAGGAACCCAACGGGGTTTCATTACATTACCGCCCGCCCGATCTGAGGCACCTCCAAGACGACACGCACATCGGGTCCTTCACCTGCAGCGGCTTGCAGTCCACGGCCAGCACCTGCCGCTCCTTCCCCGCGGCCCGGCCCTTCGGCTGCTTCGGCGCCGAGGCAGCCGCCTGCCGGAGGGGGAGCGGCGGATGTGCGGCTCCCAAGAATATACACCACCACCACCTCCATTCCCCCTCCCTCCTCCACCCTCCTCTTCCCCTCCTAGTTCCTGGGAGGGGGGAGGGGGGCGGTGAGGTGGTGGTGTATCTTTGGGGGCCCCGCAGGATGCCCGCACGGCATGCTGCGGGCGTCCCCCTGCGACCGGCGACCCCCGCTCGCGTGGCTGCGCGGCAGGCCGACGTCGCGGCGGCGTCGGTGTCGGCTTCTGGCACCGCGCGGAGCGCTGCAGCCCTGGACGATCGCGACGGCCCCACAGCGCAGATCGCTCGAGGTCGGCCGAGAAGGAGGAGGAGGAGGAGGAGGAGCAGGGAGGAGGGCGGAGGAGGAGGAGGAGGAGGAACAGGAGGAGGGGGAGGAGGAGGAGGAGGAGGAGGAGAGGAGGAGGAGGAGGAGGAGGAGGAGGAGGAGGAGGAGGAGGAGGAGGAGGAGGAGGAGGAGGAGGAGGAGGAGGAGGAGGAGGAGGAGGAGGAGGAGGAGGAGGAGGAGGAGGGGGGGGGAGAGAGGAGGAGGAGGAGCAGGAGGAGGAGGAGGAGGAGGAGGAGGAGGAGGAGGAGGAGGAGGGAGGAGGGAGGAGGAGGGGGGAGAGAGGAGGAAGAGGAGGGGCGCACGCGCTAGGGTCGCGCAGCCGCGCCAGCACGGCGCGAAGCTGCCAGGCGGGGAAGAGGGAAGGCAGGGAGCAAGGAGAGTCGGCACCACCACCACCACCAGCAACATCGCAGGGAGCAGGGGACGGTCGTGGTGGCGCGTCAGGAGCGCATCGTGGACCGCCTTTCGCCAGGGGTGGCCTGCCAGCGAGCGCGCCTGAAACCCAGTCGACTCCACGGTCCGCCGCGCCCGAGGGGGAGACGGGGGGAGATGGGGGGAGATGGGGGGAGACAGGGGGAGTGGGAGGCGGGGAGAAGGAAAGAGGGGGAGGAGGAAGGAAACGGGGAAGAAAGATTACCAAGCTCGCTATAGGCTTCAAAGGTACCTGAACCCATCTTTAGGGATGAAGCGGTCATCGGCAAAATGCTTGAGACTTTTGGGCAGCTTGGACGACAACGGGCCATTTGTTATAACATAACAGTGGTCGCGGTGGAGGTGTCCATTCGTGGCACCACTGGCCGTGGTGGGGCGAATCCGCGGGGAGGCCGTGTATCCAGATGCCCGAGTAGGACGGTTCGGCCATGCTTGGAAAGCCCTGGGAAGATGGACTTTCCTTAGAGCCCGAACAGCCGCCCTGGTTTCTGGCTCCTGCGGGTGACCTGGTCCGAGGAGGGCTTAGCCCACCGCCCCCTCTCCCACCGTAGCTCTCTCGCTTCCCGTCATGCGCGGACGTCGAGGTCGTCACAACGAGTGCTCCCACGCCTCGTGAGAGGTTGGCCTTGTGAAGGCGCCGCTTTGGCTCGGGGGCCGAATTCGCCGAGACGGCAAGGAGAGGATGTGCGAGGAGGATGGTTCTGGAGGAGGCGGAGGGAATCCGGGGAGCGGGGACACTCCTACATCGCTGGCCTGCCTCCTGGACCCCAATGGCAACGTTCGCGTCGAAACTGGCGGCTCAGGTTGTCATCTTCGGACACCGCGGGCCGCACTGCGCACGTCGCCGAAAACTGAAATGTGGGGGGGCGAGGGAGGTGAGGAAAAACTGGCGTTGGACTTCGAGGAGGGTTGTAGTCCAGAGGCTTCGGGGGACCTTTGCGAGCTCAGAGAGACCTCCAAGGACCTCCAGGGGGTTCGGGGGGGGTCCTCGTCCGCAGCCTTCCGGAAGCATCCAGCTTTCGGGGATTCCGGAGACCTGGGTGGAAGATGGCTGCGGCTATTTTGACGAAAACACATTCCCGATCCCAAAATCGCTGATTCACCGCAGACTCGGCCAAAGACTTCGGGGTATGGTTTGCGTCCGTCGGTGTCCCCATGCTAAAATCCTACCCCGAAATCTACCTCACAGAAGTCTCGAGGAGCCTGCGCTTTGTTTTGGCCCTCCTGTGTTCGGGGTTGGGCGTCTGTTTTGAGTTAGTGACTGCCTCCCCCTCCCCCTCGTCCCACCTCTCCCCCTGCAGGCGTGCAGATTACCATAGCAAAGCAACATGTAGCATTACAGTGCGGTGCCCCCTTTGGGGTTCCGACGTTACCAAGAATCGGCTTCCAGCAGGCCTGCACGCGCACTTCCTTCATTTGCCGATGCGCCGCTTGAGCGCCAGGCTTGACTGACTGACTGACTGACTGACTGACTGTCGATTCGGGAGACGTAAGACTCGGGTACGGGGGACTCGGGTTGGCCTGACGGGGGCCATCATAAAAATGACGAGACCCAATCTGAAATTTGACGCGGGCTCCCGCTGCGGACACATCCCACGAAAACGGGGCCGCCAAAATCCAGGACGCGCTCGCCCAAAAAGAAGTCGAAAATCCGAGCTCCGGCGCACGCGAGTCTTACCTTTCCCCCGATCGATGCGTGAGGGCCCCGTGGCCCCGCGCTGGGCGAGGACGCCCGGCTCGCAAAAGCCGAGGCGCCAGGCTCTCGGGGCGGTGGCGGGCGTGCTGGGCTTTGGGCATCCCCGGCCGCCGGCGCCGCTCCCGGCCCGGCCGCCGCGAGCTCGGCGTGGTCGGCCGCGTGCGCGCGGAGGGCCTTCACCTCGGGCACGGAGCGGCGCGCGCGGGGAAGTGCTGCTGTGGGGGCGAGGAGGTCCCCAGACGCCCAGCGTTTATCTCAAGCACACACGAGCTCTGGCCCTCGGGGTCCCCGCCGAGCCCCGGGGACCGTCAGAGAACGGCCCGCGGGGAAGAGCCGGCTCTGGGGGGAGGGGTCGAGACTTCCAGGGCTTCAAAGAGTCAAGAGGTCGGATGCTTGAACCTGGCTGAGGGGATGGGAAGGGGGGGGGGAGAAGGGACCGACCGTTCTGGCACTCCTGTAGGCCTACCACGCTAAGTTCTCAGAGCAAAAGAATGTTCTGAGAACCAACAGTGTTCTTAGACCATGAAGCCGATGCGCTGAAACAAAACGGTCTCGGCCAGAAAGGGTCTAAGAACATGTCGTGCAAACCACAAATGCTTCGTAGAACAGTCTTCGGCGGGACTATAGGCAAGTCAGGACGCCTGGCTTCGGTATAAGTGAAGGGGCCAAGGGGCACACAAATAAATATACACGAATAACAGGATTACCCCTATTTCCCAATATTTTCTGGGTTTTCGTCTTCCCCCCACTTCCCATATTTTCCCATATTTTCGGGGGAATCGACGATTAATTGTGTTTGTGCTTGTTTTCCCTCCTGAGCTTTGTTCGTCGCGGCGGCCGTCGGGGGGGGGGGCTGGACCGACCGGGCTGGGCACGGCCAGGAGGTGCTGCTTTTCCTGATGCAGGACATCCCCGACGGGGGGTCCACAACTGCTCGTGTGGGACTGCTGTGATCAGACGAAGCCAGGGCGAAGATTAAAAAATCGGGGCGAGCTCTGAGAACCGGGGGCCATTGCGGAGGTATCGGGCGCTGCGGCCTTCTCGGAGCGCTCCAGAGCGCTCTGAGGGCGTCCCAGGACGCTCTGGGACGGATTCGTCCTCGTCCCAGCCCCGCGCGATGTGACCACCTCCCCCACGAGTGATGGGCCTATTTTCTACCACCGCTACCACAGGTGGCACGGTGGGGAGGGCAGGATGGGAAGGTCCTCCTTCTCCTCCTCCTCCTCCTCCTCCTCCTCCTCCCTCCTCCTCCTCCTCCTCCTCCTCCTCCTCCTCCTCCTCCTCCTCCTCCTCCTCCTCCTCCTCCTCCTCCTCCTCCTCCTCCTCCCCCGCCTCCTCCTCCTCCTCGCCTCCCTCCTACCTATGGTAGTGGTGGTGGAAAATCGGCCCATCAACGAGGATGAAATCGGGAGCACCTTCCCACGCAGCACCCCGACCTGGGCCCAGTGTCGGCCTCGTTCAGGGGGGGGCGTACGTATGCACAGATCCCTGGCCTCCCCGGGCCGGGCCCGGCCAGGACTGGGTGTGGGGGGGGGGCACCGCCGGCGTCCCCCGATGCCACGGAACCTTACAGACGTGCTGCAGCCGAGTTTTGCGCGGATTCCCGTCCATGCAAAAACCCCGATGGGGCGAGCGAAAAACGAGGCCATTTTCACGTGGATGTGTTGTAGTCTTCCGTCCTGGCCCAAAGAGAATTCCGTCAGAAGTCGCGCTCTGACGGCCTCCAGGAATCAAAAACTTCGGAAACCAGAGGACACCGATCTACCGCTACTCCCCAGACCTCCCCGGGAGTGCGTTCTGACCAGAATTTCGGGGCGAATCCAGCCGTGGCGACGAGGGCCTCCCAGGAGGCCCAGAAAGACAAGAAAGAGGCATCGGTGCCTTGTCCTGCTCTGAACAGCGCGGAGAACCAGCCGTGCGCGACCCGTTCTGCGACGCCCCCGGGGTCTGCAGGGTGAGAGGGCGCGAGGACCCTCAGGAGGGGGAGGGCCAGCCTCGGTCCAATGGCACCCAGGCGACCACAAGCATGGATCCAGGGGGCGTGGCTTGGCGACGGGTCCCGTTCCCACGGGAAAGCGCGGATTTCCGCCGCCGCATGAGGCGGCACCGGCCGCATGCTGGGGAGGGCACCTCCCCCGATCCATGGATCTGGCGACCGCGCGCCAAATGCATGGATCGCTACCCCATGTTTGCCCACCCCCGAGACACGCCGCGCCGCCGAAGTGGGGGCCTCCCAAGTGTGACCCGAGCAGACGGGGTTGACGGTGCATCAGCAATGCATCGACGACGCCGGGGTGGAGAAGAAAATCGGGCTCCCGACCGCGCCGCCGCGATTGCGTGGGCGAGGCGGCGCGATCCTCGGGCCCCAGCTGCTCTGGCCCCATATGTCGGGGGCGCGCAAGCATGGAGCAGCGATCCATGCATGTGGCGCGCGGTCGCCAAATCCATGGATCGGGGGAGGTGCCCTCCCCAGCATGCGGCTGGTGCCGCCTCATGCGGCGGCGGAAATCCGCGGTTTCCCATGGAAACGGGACCCGTCGCCAAGCCACGCCCCCTGGATCCATGTTTGCGATCGCCTGGATATATACGGGAGGCCTGTAGAACGCTGGGGCTCGCCTGCTTGAACCACCTCAGCAGGTGCGGGTACAGCTCCCGGTCGGGCAGGACGTGGATCTTGGAGAACTGGGCGAAGTCCTCGGGCGTGGCCGCGGCCGTGCCCCCCACGAAGGAGCGCGTGGCCAGGAGGCCGTTCAGCTCCGCCTGGAGGCGGAGGAGGGCAGCCGCCAGGCACCGCCAGACTGCGCGAGCGGGAACGCTGGGAGGTCCGAGCGGACCTCTTGGAGAGGCTCATGATGTGCCAACCTACTTCAGCCTTGATCACGAGACAAAATTCCGAAGCTCGAGGGTTTCCACGTGTCGGGCCCTGGGAGACACTCGTCCGACAATGTTTCGACACTCTTTCGACACTTTTCCGGGTGCTCGAAAGTAGTTCTGGTATGTGGTCCTTAAGTACGATGGGAGCAACAGAAAGAGAGGCAAGGATGCAAGGGTACCCCTGGGAAGCCGCTCATCCTTACTGTCGGTGTTGGCTGTATGCCCGCTCGGAGCCCACGTCCTGGTGGGCGTGGCCTCCCCGCCTGCCCTGGAGCCAGGGCGCATATCCCAGTTGGACCTGCGAGGGCCCAGCGGTGCCAGTCGGCTCCCCACAAGGCCTGTGACCCTGAGATCCTGGCGCCTCGCTTGCTCCGAGCCGGGCGCCTTCGCCCGGTCTGGGGCCCCAGGAGAACCTCAGAGATCGATGCGGCTGGATGACAAAAAGCACCCCCCCCAAAAAAAAAACGGAAGAGAAATACGGCCTGGGGCTATGTCGTGATGTTCCACGATGCTGCATGCTTGTTCGCGACGTCGGATATCAGTGGACGTCGTGACCTGCTCGTGCTCGACACACTGCCTGGCACTGGGCCCCTGGTCGTCGTACGTTTTGGCCGCGTGCGGCCGAAAGCGCCCCGAGCACCGAGAAAGCTCAGCTCAGCAAAAAAACGCCAGCGCTGCAAGAGACCACTGCGTCGGAGCTCTGGCAAGACGAAGCTGGGACTAGGTCGGGCATGTCCTGCTACAGGCGGATGTCGGAATCATGTCAATAATACGAATAGTAATAATAGTCCGAATAACAAGGATAATAATAATAGTAATAAGAATAACAATGATAATTATGATAATACGAATAATAATGCGAATAAGAATACTTATAATAGTAAGACTGATGATAATAATAAAATAATGACAATAACAAAGCTATATATATAAGCTATGTATATATGTATGTGTATATATATAGACATATAAAACAACAAGTTCCGAGAGAGCACGAAAATCCGTCCCATGACTATTTTTACTATTCTCGAATCTTCCTCCTGTAGAGGACCATGTCCGACTTAAAGCTAGGACGAGGATATAAAATCGGGTGGGGATAAATCGGGAATCTCTAAGATCTGGCGGCTCTGGAGGATGCATCGGGTGCCGCAGCCTTCTCGGAGCGCCCCGGAACGCCCTGAGAGCGTTCCGGAACGCTCTGGAACAGATTTGTCCTCGTCCCAGCCCCGTCCGATCTGGGTTCTCCTGGGGCATCCCCCCCGGGCCTGTCTGGGGGCGCGTTTTGGCCAGGATCTCGACGGGAACCCGGCCGTAGCCACGAGACGACCCCCCCGAGGTCCACGGAGGGCCGAAAAACACCAGCAAACCTCGAACATCGATCCTTCAAACTCGATCCCCCCTCGAAGAAAAAGGCAGGATCGAGACAGAATCGAACCGATGTATGAATTGGAAATCTCAGAGAAACGGCGGTTTGGGAGGACGTGTCGGGCGCCGCGGCCACTTCAAAGCGTTCTGGAACGCTATGAGAGCGTTCCGGAAAGCTCTGGAACGAATTTGCCTCGATTCTAGGCTTGGGTCGGGCATGACATCCTACAGACGGATGTTGACAGTACATCTCTCTCTATATATATATATATATATATATATATATCCAAATGCATACATCTAGTTATACATACATACATACATACGTACGTACGTACATACGTACGTACGTACGTACGTACGCACGTACATACGTACGTACATACGTACATACGTACATACGTACATACGTACATACGTACATACAAACATACATACATACATACATGCATGCATGCATGCATGCATACATACATACATACATACATACATATACAGAAATACAAGTACAGTCATGCATGCATGCATGCACACCTATACATACATACATACACACATACATACATATATACATACAAACATACATATATAGATGCATGCATACATACATACATACATGCATGCATGCATACATACATACATGCATGCATACACGCACATACATACATACATGCATACATATATACATACAGACAGGCATACATACATACATACATGCATACATACATACATGCTTACGCACGCATACATACATACATGTTGGCATGCATACATACACACCTACGTACATACATGCATGCATGCATGCGAACACACATGCATACGCATGCATACATGTATGTGCATACGTAAATGCATACATACATGCATACGTACATTTCTACATACATACAGAGAGACATACAAGCCTACATACATACATGTTACATACATGCATACATACATACGTGCACACATACAAACATACATACATAAAAGCAACCAGGCGTGCATACATAAATGCATGCATGCATGCATACCTACAGACATACATGTTTGCAGACATACCTACATACATGCATGCGTGTATCAACGCATGCATGCATACAGGCATGCAACCACATAATCAAATATACATGTATACATGCAAACACACGCACGTGCATACGTACAGTCATATATATGTATATATAAACATTCGTATATACCTACATACATGCATGCATATATGCATGCATACAGACATACGGACACACGGACAGACAGACAGACGGACACGCATGCATGCATGCATACCCATATATATATATATATATATATATATACATGCATACATACATACATACGTACATACCTGCATGAGCATATATATATACACACATACATAGACGCATGCATACATGCATACATGCATACATGCAGACATGCATACATGCAGACATACAGACATACACACATACATATATATACGTATATACGTACATACCTACCTACCTACAGACAGGCAGACAGACAGACTGCCAGACAGACCTACATATATTTGCACATACAAGTGTAAATGCATGTATGCATACATGCATATATGCATACATGCATGCATACATACACATGTAACGCATGCAAATACGAACACGAAAAATCGTCACCAGACTAGTTTGGGACTCTTCGTGAATATCATTATTGTAGCGGGACCTGCCCGATTTAACTCTAGGCCCGTCCGACTCGATCCCCCCTCCTCCGCGCACCTCGCCTCCAGGAGCAAAACCTATCCAGCATCGGCCCCCAGACCCCTCCAGGCATCCACCGTGGACAACTCCTCTTCCAGCCGGGTAATTGTACCCAACGGCCCCGCGGCCAAGAACAGGCCTATCTTGAGGCCGACAGTGCCGATACTTCTCCTCCTCCTACTCCTCCTCCTCCTCCTCCTCCTCCTCCTCCTCCTCCTCCTCCTCCTCCTCCTCCCCCTGCTCCTCGATCCCCTCCCGGTCCGCCAGCCCTTTCTCCGTCTTCACGCTGATCTGGGCGGCCGCGGCCATCCGAGCACGCGGCAGGGTGGCCAGGGGTCGGGGGGCACGGGCCGGAAGGTCCGCCTTCTCCTCCTTCTGGCGGCCGCGCCAGCGAGGTGGAGGGCGCCCTCGTGCTCCCGCCCCCCTGCCTTTCTTCCCTTCCCTCCCTCCCTTCCTCCCTCCCTCCTCCCTCCCCTATCCCCTCCCTCCCCTACCCCTCCTCCCCTCTCCTCCTCCCTCCCTACGCCATGGTAGGGGATGGGAGGAGGGGTAGGACGTGAGATATGACGCGAGCGCACCTAGCTTGTCCCTCCCCCTCCCTCCCTCCCTCCGCCCTCCCTCCCCTCCCCCCTTCCCTTCCTTCCCTTCCATCCCTCCCTTCCTCCCCCCTTCCTCCCTCACTTCACAATTACAAAATATGAATACTACTCTCCTCTCTCCCCTGATGACGTCTGGAAGATATCTGGCCCCCCTCCGCGTACTGTTTCTTCACACACACACAGGACAACCGGGAAATGGGTTTGCTCCCGCTGAAGCGTTGACCCCATTTCTGCGCCTCTGGTTGTTCCAAATTGTGCTCCCGCTGCAGCGCGGGAGTTTTCGGTCTTTACAGGCCCCAAAATCTAGAAAATGCCCCCCGAGAAAACCATCGGAAGTGGTTACATATTCGGTGCCGATTGGTTGGGGCGTCGTCGCTTTCAGGAAGTGTCAAACGAGAGCCCCGTTTCTGCTTCGAGAAGGCGATGTTGGCAGCAGAGCCAGCGGGTGCTCTCCATCAGCCCCGCCTTGTGTGGATTTTTTCGGGGAGCCCAAGAAGCTAGGCATGGAGCCACGTTTCCAGACCGGCCCAGACCTCTCGAAGACGATTCACGTACCATCCAAGGAACCAGGCGCCATGCCAGAACTTGCTGTGCGGTGTTGCGTTCTGCGCCGATGTGCGATGCCATGCTTGCGTTGCAATGCTTTGTGATACAATGCTTCACTGCGCAATGTCACGCCATGCTATGGCATGCTACGCTCTGCCCTGCTCTTCCACGCCATGCCGTTCATCGTGCACCCTCTCGCGATCATTGCCCTGATCAACATCCGACTGTGCGAATAGAGAGGGTACCTACGCCATGGTACGGGATGGGAGGGACGGGTAGGATGTCAGATATGACGCGAGTGCACCTAGCTTGTCCCTCTCCCCTCCCTTCCTCCCTCCCTCCACTCTCCCTCCCCTCCCCCCTCCCTTCCTTCTTGTCCATCCCTCCCTTCCTCCCTCCCTCCCTCCACAACTGCAAAATATAAATACTACTCTCCTCTCTCCCCCGATGACGTCTGGAAGATATCCGGCCCCCCTCCGCGTACTGTCTTTCTACACACAGGATTCCCAGTAAGTTGGTTTTCGCTTGGTTTTTGTTCCAAAATGTTGCTCCCGCTGAACCGCTGGCTTCATTTTCGGGCTTCCGCTCGTTCCAAATCGTGCTCCCGCTGCAGCGCTGGCCTCATTTCTGCGCTCCCGCTCCTTCCGAACCGTGCAACGCTGGACTCATTTCCGCGCTTCCGCTCGTTCCGAATCGTGCTCCCGCTGCAGCGCTGGCGTCATAATTTCCAGATGCCACGGCATGGTTTATGGTCTTTCCAAATAGGCCCCGAAATCTAAAAAATGCCCCCCCCCGAAAAAAACATCGGAAGTGATTACACATTCGGAGACGGTTCGTTGATTTTGGGGGCCGCAGAAGCCCCCCCCCACTTTGGGGCGTCGCCACGCCATGCTGTGTCATGCTACGCATTGATATTCAACGCCATGATATGCCATGCAATGCTATGCAATGCTACGACATCCATCTGTGCGAATAGAGGGATCTACGCCATGATAACAGATGGGAGGGAGGGGAACGACATCAGATATGACGCGAGCGCACCTAGCTTGCCTCCCCCCCTCCCTTCTTTCCCTTCCCGTTCGGAAAGCTTCCACCAGAAAACTTGCCGTCAGGATGTCTTGGCGACGCCCAGATTCTGAGGGGATGGCCGACCGTAGCTGGCGCCCCCCGCCGACCAGGAGGCGGCCCACGCTCCCAGCGATCGGGCACTGCCAGCGGCGACCCTGGCACAGAGGCAGGATCAGTCAGCGTCGAATCGGGAAATCGGCTCGAATCACAATGCGCGTCGGATCTGCTGCGCCAGGATACACAACAACGCCATGCAGGCGCAAGCATCGGGCCGCAGCGGATCGTCGGAACATCGAGAACGAGTCGGACCGCTCCGATTGGAATCGATGTCGAATCGATCGATCTGATCGAGATGGACCCTGCAAGGTGACCCCGGCTTCTCCAGGAACGCCAAGGTTGCCTCCAGAAAGCACCTCTCACGAAGCCCTGAAGGCCCCAGGGGCTGTGAAATTAGAGACCTCCCCAAGTGGAGTCCGAGCAGATGGGGCCTGAGGATCGCACCGCATCGCCAATGCGTCGGCAGTGCGCCCGCCACGTCGGAGTGTGGGAAAAATCGAGCTCCGCATCGAGCCGCCTCGCACGCATCGGCGATGCGGCGCGATCCCTCCACGCCCCGCTTGAGGAGGCCCGAAGCTCCGAACCTCGGTGAGAATAGATGGGAGAGGGGGGGTGCGGGCAAGCCTTATATCCATATCCACTGCGTCTTGGAGTTTCTGCGAAGGGGCGCCACGAGGCCAAGCCGCAATGGATATGGACAAAAGTCTAGCCTCTAGGGGCCAGACGTTTCGTATCCATGTCCACTGCGCCTCTGGATTCTGGGGAAGGGAACCCGGAAAGCCAAGACGCAACTGATATGGATACTAAGTATCGTTGAACCGATCCCCATCCCCAGCGGGGTGGCCTGGGCCCCACTGGCCGATCTACCAACCTAGATGGGGATACAGGCGGTTCCCTTCGGGTTTCGAGGGGTGTATCCCCAACTGGGGTGGTAATTTGGTGGGGGTCTCCAAGGGGATGGGGATGGGATAAACGATACCGAGACATGGATACGAAGCCTGCCCGCAGGGGGGGGCGCCCAAGGCCAGGCATCGCCTCTGGCAGCCTCTCCGAGACGACGGCCAGGGCCCAGCCGGCCCGGAGCCGCGCGGCGGTCCCGCCCCCCTTCCACGGCGCGCGCCTGCGCCGCCGGGGTGGGTATACAAAACTCGGGCCCAAAAAACACTCCTGGGCACGAGGTGGGCGCGGGGGGCAGGAGGAGGAGCAGGAGAAATCCAGGGAGAATTCCAGAATTAATGACAACGTTAAGTAGTCATGAGAGGAGGAGAAGGAGGAGGAGAAGAGGAGGAGGAGGACGAGGAGGAGGAGGTTCGCGGATCGAGATTGGAGGATGGAGGATCGAGAAGAAGGACGAGGTTCGAGGATCGAGGGTCGAAAAGGGGGAGGAGGAGGAGGAGGAGGAGGAGGAGGAGGAGGAGGAGGAGGAGGAGGAGGAGGAGGAGGAGGAGGAGGAGGAGGGAGGAGGAGGCGAGGAGAGGAGAGGAGAGGAGAAGAGAGGAGAGGAGAGGAGAGGAGAGGAGAGGAGAGGAGAGGAGAGGAGAGGAGAGGAGAGGAGAGGAGAGGAGAGGAGAGGAGGTGGAGGAGACTCGAGGATCGAATCACTGACTTCAGGATTATTTCACGACTTTGGGGGCCTCTGGGGCGCTTCTCGTCGCCACGGCTGGATTCCCCTCAAAATTCTGGTCAGACGGTACCCCTGGAGAGGTCTGGCGACCGACTTTGCAAGGAGGAGAAGCAGCAACAGGAGTAGGGGTGGAGGAGAAGGGGGACGCGGAGAACGACGACGACGACGACGACGACGACGACGACGACACTTGCACGTTCCTGCCCTGGGCTTCCTGGAGCCTCCGGGGACTGCTCTCGACACCCCCGGGCAGCAGAAGCAGGCGGGGCCATAGGAGTGGGGGCAGAAGGGGGGCGCGAGGAGCGGGGGAGCTGGAGCATCCTTTGCCCTTCCCCAGGCCGCCCCTGCCTGTTGTCGGCCTACCTCCCCCGTCGCTGCGCCTCTGGCGCCTCTTCTCCTGCCCCCCAGAAACCCCTCCGCTCCAGTCCTCCACACCAGTCTGCGAATACAGTCTGCCCAGTCTGCGAATACAGTCGGACTTGATTGGAGAGGACACGCGAGAGGACACAAGACCCTTCCGAAGGCCACATCGCCATAGGAGTGTAAGAAGGCACGTGTCGCGAGGCACAGGACACAAGGGTACCCTTGAGCTGGCAGGGTCGACCTACTAATCAGGGCCGACTGTACCCTGTATACCCTCTGGCCCCTCTTCTTCTGCCCCCAGTCCGCGTATACCCTGTATACCCCCTGCTCATGATCCCTGCCTTCCTGCCTTTCCCTGCCCTCACACACCTGCACCTCCTGCTCCTCCCAACTCCCGCGTCATCCTGTAAGACTGTACCATACGAATACTGGTCTCCTCTCCCCCGAAAACGTCCTGATAATCCGGACCCACACACAAACACACACACACGCTTTCGTCTTCTACGCACAGGATTGGGACGAATTGTTTTGTCGAATGCTTTTATCCCCTTCCAAACGTTTTCGGTCTGTCCAGAAATTGCGTTTCCGCTGCAGCGCTGGCCTGATTTCATCATCGGCGCTTGGGTCCCGTCGTTCAGTATGGCGCTGTTGCCCCATCGCGGGCCATGTTTCTGGATCGAAGTCCTTCTTCGTCGTTGTCGTCCCCATTTCCCCTTCTCCGCCATCCCATGGTCCTTCAGCTCCCCCCACACCTCCCACGCCTGCTCGTCCTCCTCCTCCTCCTCCTCCTCCTCCTCCTCCTCCTCCTCCTCATTCTCCGCATGATCATCATCAGCATCAGCATCAGCATCAGCATCAGCATCAGCAGCAGCAGCAGCATCATCATCATCATCATCATCATCATCATCATCATCATCATCATCATCATCATCATCATCATCATCATCATCATCATCATCATCATCATCGGCATCGTCATCATCATCATCAGCAGCGGCAGCATCAGCAGCAGCATCATCATCATCATCAATCATCATCATCAGCATCATCATCATCATCATCATCACCAGCATCATCAGCATCATCATCATCATCATCATCAGCATCATCATCATCATCATCATCATCATCATCAACATCGTCATCATCATCATCATCATCATCATCATCATCATCATCGTCATCATCATCATCATCAGCATAAGCATCATCATCATCAGCATCAGCATCAGCATCAGCATAATCATCCTCGTCATCATCAGCAGCAGCAGCATCACCACCATCATCATCATCATCAGCAGCAGCAACATCATCGTCATCATCATCAGCAGCATCATCATCATCGCCATCATCATGTTCATCTTCATCATCATCGTCATCATCATCAGTGTCATGATAATCATCATCATAATCATCATCATCATCATCATCATCATCATCATCATGATCATCATCATCATCGTAATCATCATCATCATCATCATCATCGTCATCATCATCAGCATCGTCATCGTCATCGTCATGATCATCATCAGCATCCTCATCATCATCATCGTCATCATCAGAATCAGCGTCATCATCATATTCGGATTCATCGTCACCATCGTCATCAGCATCAGCATTATTATCAGCAGCATCATCAGCATCATCATGATCAGCAGCAGCATCATCATCAGCATCGTCATCGTCATCGTCAGCGCCACCATCAGCATCATCATCGGCATCCTCAGCATCATCAGCATCATCATCATCGACAGCATCATCAGCAGCAGCAGCATCATCATCATCAGATGCATCGAAATCATCACCATCATCATCAGCATCATCATCGTCGTCAGTAGTATCAGCATCATCATCACCATCATCGTCATCATCATCATACGCATCATCATCAGCAACATCAGCATCAGCATCAGCATCAGAAATCATCATCATCGTCAGCGGGGCAACATCATTAGCAGCAGCAGCAGCAGCATCATCATCAGTATCGTCGTCATCATTTGCTTGAGCATCATAAGCATCGTCTTGATCATCAGCAGCATAATCATCAGCATCATCATCAACCTCGTCATCATCGTGACCATCACCATCACCATCATCATCAGCACCTTCATCATCATCGCCTTCATCATCAGCATCACCATCATCATCGACCACCCCATCCTCCACTTCTTCCAAGTTGCACAGCGCACCTTCTGTTTACGCGTGAAGCGATGGAGTCATTTGGGGGGGTCTAGATCATGACAACATTCGGCGGACAATGAAAAATCTGCGCAATGGGCAGTGTGGGTGGAAGAGGTAAGAGATCAACATGGCGCGAGCGCACCTGAAATGCCCTCGCCCTCTCCCACCTCCCACCTCCTAGTCATTCCTCCTCTCCCCCCATCACCTATCCTCATCCGTGTCCTCTTCTCGTGTCCCTCCACCTTCAGTTATCCCTCCTCCCCTTGTTCATCCTTGTATCTCTCCTTGCTATCCTCCTCTTTCTCCTAACCACCATCAACAATCATCAGATTCCAACCTCTGGTTCATCCACGTCCATTATTTTCTTCGTCTTCAACCTGATATCGCTCCTCCCCTTCTTCTAGCCTCCCCTTCCCACGTGTTCCTGCCCCTCCCCCTCGCCTCCTCCTCCCCCTTCCCCCATCCCCCGCATCTCGCTCCTCCCTCCTTCCTCTCCCTGCTCTCCGTATGCCACTTCCCTACCCGTATTCCTGATTCCTACATACTCCTACTCTGCAACCAGGCCCGTCGATTGACAGCCAAAGCGGAGGGGGGGGGAACCCATTCGACCTGCAAAAACAAGGCAATTTCTATCTGCTTGAGTTCACCATGATACGATGTCGCGCACGTTGCTAAATGCGCGGAAGGAATGGGACGGGAAGCACACCCCTCGCTGAAAGAGAAGATCCCGCTGTCGCCTAGGCACCGCGCTCATTTGTTCCAGAGAAGACCTGCCGACTGGAACTCGCACGCCACTTCGTCGACGCGCGAGCGAGCGACAAATATAGATTTCGCCCTGGACCCGCGCAGACTCGTCTGAAGAAAGCGCTCCCTCCCTGGCTCGGCGCATGCGTTTCTCTCGCCGATGTCTGGGGCTCCGCGCGAGTGGGCGATTTGTCGCCCTCGCCCAAGTTCCGTTCGCATTTTCGCTCTTGCCGCGCGGGCGCGGCGCTTGGCCCGTTCGCCGAACCGCATGACAGCGGCAGCGGCCGCGGGGCCGCACGAGAGCGGGCGAAATGCGCACCCTTGCCCAAGTGCCGCGCAACTCGTGCATGAAAGTGGCAGAACTGTGCCGGCGCGGCGCGTCTTTTGTCTTCGCCGTGCGCATCGGAAATCGTGCCGCTCCCGCCCCTGCGCAGCGCGCGCAGTTTTCCGCACCTCCGTCGTCGGAAGCGCGAGCGCCGTCGGTTCGCTAGGTGGGAACGCGTTCCGCCCCAAAGATCAGGTTGCGCCACAATTCGTCATAATGTCATACATCCAAGGCTGGGAGTGGGCGTGACTCGCTCGGCCTGGCAAATTGCTCCCCACTCATACTTATCCTCCCCTCAGATGCCCCTCCCCGTCGTGGTCGTCGTCGTCGACGTCGTCGTCGTTGTCCTCCCCCTGCCTCCTCTTTTTCCTCCTCCTCCTCCTCCTCCTCCTCCTCCTCCTCCTCCTCCTCCTCCTCCCTCCCCCTCCCCTTCCCCTCCCCCTCCTCCTCCTCCTCCTCCTCCTCCTCCTCCTCCTCCTCCCTCCTCCTCCTCCTCCTCTTCTTATTATGATTATGTTTATTCTTCTTCGTATTATTATGATTATTAGTATTGTTTTATATTTTTACTATTAGCATTAATATTATTATTGTTACTACTACTTTAGTATTAGTACTATTCTGCTTCGTATTAGTATTATTCGTCATCTTCTTCTTCGTCATCTTCTTCTTTTTCTTCCCCGTCCTCTTCCTCCTCCTCGTCCTCCTCCTCCTCCTCCCCCTCCTCCCCCCCCCTCTCCTCCTCCTCCCTTTTCCTCCTCCTCCTCCCCCTCCCCCTCCCTCCTCCTCCTCCTCCTCCTCCTCCTCCTCCTCCTCCTCCTCCTCTGCTTTTTATTGTCATTGCTCGTCTTATTATCAATAATAAAACCACTATCCTTAATACTATTATTACCACTACTATTGCTGTCAACCATTACTATCGTTACTATAGAATTATCATCATTACTATCAGTATGACCATTACTACTCATTATACGTATGACCATCCTTATTACTATTAGTACCAGTATTACTATTAGTGTTAGTAGTATGCTTCTTCGTACTAGTATGCTCGTATTGATGTTCTACGTAGCATGCTCATTCTCAGTATCCTGATTCGTCTTATTCTTAGTAGCCGTATAAACTTACCATTCGAAGTATGATTCTTAATATGTGTATCAGAATTTGCAGTAGCATTGTTATTATTATGATTAAGAGCATGATTACTAGTATACGTAGCAGGATTATTATCTTCTGTTGTGATAGAATTAGTAATATTATTGGTACGATTCGCATTAAGATCCTCTTTTTAGTGGTAATATCAGTTTTCTGGCTGGTAGGATTGATATAGTTAGTATTAGTATTAGTTATCTGTTTTTGTTATGTAAGCCTTCTCAGTATTAGTACTCATAGTATTAGTAATACCCCGTTTACGTATTAATCTTAGTGTTGTTGGTACTTCAATGTTTTATTCGTAGAGAGAGTATTAATAGTATGCGTAGTGTTCTTGTTGCTGATACTATTAGTAGTATTATTAGTATCATTATTCGTATGCTCATTGCTCTTGCAACTTGTCTCACTAACAGTATAAGTGTTATTAATATCCCTCCTCTACCTCCTCATCATCATCAGCATCATCAGCATCATATTCCGCCTCCGCCTCCTCCTCCTCTCCTCCTCCTCCTCCTTTTCCTCCTCCTCCTCATCCTCCCCCTCCTCCTCCTCTTTCTCCTCCTCACCCTCTTCCTCCTCCTCCCCTCATTCATCCTCCTCCCCGTTTGACGCTAAACAAACCGGTGCGTGAAGGTGTGGCGTCAATGGTGGCAGATGTGAAAGAAAAACGGCTCGGGTCAAGAAACACCTGGCGGGCTTCGCGAAACATTAAAGACTTCGAGCGAAGGGCGACACGATTAATGAAAGTAGGCGCCCGCCAGGTGTGACGACACTCACCTTAGTTGGGTAGCAAGAACACTAACAAACACAAGTAAGATAAGATGACGACCTTAGATCGATGGTGAGCGCCGTCGCCGCAGGCCACATACAGAATGACGGTACGGCCTGGAGTATGGAAATGAGGAAACGGATGTGAGGATACAAACGTACCTGGGTTGTGCCGTCTCTGTAAGTAAGTTGTGAAGCAAGCGCAGCGATCGCCATGGTGCTTCTCCCACCCCACCCCCAAGATACGACCGATCCCCTCCCTTTTTCAAACCTGGCCTGAAAGGCTTGCCCGTCGAGCAGGAGTGAATGCAGCTGCGCAGAGTAGGCCTGGAGGTACAGGCTTGTAAGAGTAATTGTATGACGGGGTCAAACCCAGTAGGGGGGCCCAAGTGCGCGCCGTGCTCATGGCAAAGGGTGGCGTGCATTTCTGGTACAAACCGCGTTAAATAGCAGGTATTGGGATGCTGTCCTTTGCTGATTAGTAGAAACGTGCGGCCGAAAATAAACACGGGCATGCGAGGCCGGCGTTCGCTGCAATGCAGGGGCAGTTGGTGCTTGAACTCCTCACGTGGACAGAACGCTTACATGTTTGGAGTGGCACCTAAAAAAAAACACGTCTGCCCTCTCTGATGGGCATATCCTCCGCCACCTCCCGTAGGTTCGAAAATCCACCGCCCACCCCCCGTAACCTCCAAAGAGAACGCACCGTGCTGGCAGGCTGCATCTGTGGTCCAGAAAGGAAAAACTGGTCGTAGCAGTCCTTGGGTTGCTGCCCAGGGCGTTGGCTGACCCCAAACCGTGGTAAAATGGGATTTCTTTGGATGCTGCCCGTGCTATATGGTCTAGAAAGAACTGCTACATACGACACTGGAATCTCGTATATACAATGGTCCCTCTTTGCCAGCAGCAGGCCCGCTCTCTTAGCTTGCAGTAGGCCCGCTGTTCGATTCCTAGGTGGAGGGGCCACCGTCACCGTGTCAAGGTCAAGAGTATGAGGGTTAGGGGTGTGAGAGCGAGGTGGGAGGGTGGGACGCGTACGCTGCAAAGGCTGACCTGTGCCGGCTGGCTTGTAGGCCTATGCGCAAAAATATTGTGAGCCTGGCCTAGCTGATACGAGTGCCAGCAGAAGAATAAAAGCACTGCAGGTAAGTTCCTCCACCAGCCTCACAAATCCCATGTAGACCTCCACCCCGCCTCCGCAGCAACGTCCGTCCATCCCTATTCAAGTCGTCGTCGTCGTTGTCCTCCACCTCATTCTTCCTTCTCCTCCTCCTCCTTCTCCTCCTCCTCGTCCTCCTCCTCCTTCTCCCCCTCCTGCTCGTCCTCTTCCTCCTCCTCTTTGCTCCTCCTCCTCCTTCTCCCCCTCCTCCTCCTCCTCCTACTCCTCTCTTCGTATATGATCAGTAGTCGCATTGTTAATGTTACTAGTATTAACAGTCCTAGTGCTACCATCAGTACTATCATTCGTATCAGTATAATGATTATTCGCAACAGTAGTAGTAGTAGTAGTAGTAATAGCAGTAGTAGTAGTAGTAGTAGTAGTAGTAGTAGTAGTAGTAGTAGTAGTAGTACTAGTAGTAGTAGTAGTAGTAGTAGTAGTAGTAGTAGTAGTAGTAGTAGTAGTAGTAGTAGTAGTGGTAGTAGTGGTATAGTTAGTAGTAGTAGTAGTAGTAGTAGTAGTGTAGTAGTAGTAGAGTAGTAGTGTAGTAGTAGTAGTAGTAGTAGTAGTTAGTAGTAGTAGTAGTAGTAGTAGTAGTAGTAGTAGTAGTAGTGGTAGTAGTAGTAGTAGTAGTAGTAGTAGTAATAGTAGTAGTAGTAGTAGTAGTAGTAGTAGTCGTAGTCGTAGTCGCGGTCGTAGTCGTAGTCGTAGTAGTAGTAAGAAGAAGAAGAAGAAGAATTAGTATCATAAGTATCCTCATCATCATCAACAGCTATCTCAGCAGCATCACCACCACTAGTAGCATCACAAGTGGTAGTACTATTGCTATGAGTTGTAGTATTATGAGTAGTATTACCAGTATTAATGTGTTTAGCACTGTTAATGAAAGTGCGCCAATGGATCTCCCTGAATACACTAAAGGGGGGGGGGGTCCAGAACCCCCCCCACCTCCCATTGAAGGGGGGGGGTCCGGACCCCCCCCCTCCCCCTCCCCCCCTTGGCGTTGGAAAGGGGGGGGGGGTCGGACCCCACCCCCCGTGTAGGGAGAACGGAGTTGGGAGTAGGGAGTGGTGAGTAGTGAGTAAGGAGTTAATGCGTAGTGAGTAGTGAGCGAGTAGGGAGTAGTGAGTAGTGAATAGTGAGTAGTGTGTACTGATAAGTGAGTAGTGAGTGGCGAGTAGTGAGTAGTGAGTAGTGAGTAGCGAGTAGCGAATGGTGAGTACTGAGTAGGGAGTAGGGAGTAATGAGTAGTGGGTAGTGAGATAGTGCGTAATGGGTAGTGGGTGGCGAGTAGTGATTAGTGAGTAGTGAGTAGTGCGTAGTGCGTAGTGCGTAGTGAGTAGTGAATAGTGAGTAGTGAGTAGTGAGTAGTGAGTAGTGGGTAGTGGGTAGTGAGTAGTGAGTAGCGAGTAGTGAGTAGTGAGTAGTGAGTAGTGAGTGGTGAGTATTGAGTAGTACGTAGTGCGTAGTGAGTAGTGAGTTGTGAATAGTGAGTAGTGGGTAGTGGCAGTGGGTAGTGAGTAGTGAGTAGCGAGTAGGGAGTAGCGAGTAGTGAGTAGTGAGGAGCGAGTAGGGCGTAGTGAGTAGTGAGTAGTGAGTAGAGAGTAGTCAGTAGTGAGTAGTGGGTAGTGATTAGTTAGTAACGAGTAGGGAGTAGCGAGTAGTGAGTAGAGAGTAGGGAGTAGGGAGTAGGGAGTACGGAGTAGTGAGCAGTGAATAGTAAGAAGTGGGTAGCGAATAATGGGTAGTGAGTAGCGATTGGTGAGTCGTGGGCAGTGGGTAGTGAGTAGTGACTAGTGACTAATGACTAGTGAATTGTGACTAGAGACTATGTAGCGACTAGTGAGTAGGGAGTAGTAAATAGTGAGTGGTGAATAGTGAATAGTGGGGAGTGAATAGTGAGTATTGAGTAGCGAATATGGGAGTAACGAGTAGTGAGTACTGAGTACTGTGCAGTCAGTATTGTGTAGGGAGTAGTGAGTAGCAAGTAGCGAGTAGTGGGTAGTGAGTAGTGATTTGTGGGCAATGAGTAGTTCGTAGTGAATAGTGAGTAGTGGATAGGTGGCTAGTGGGTAATGATTAGTGATTAGTGAGCAGTGAGTAGGGAGTAGTGAGTAGTGCTTAGTGAGTCGTGAGTATTGAATAGTGGGTAGTGAGGAGTGACTAGTGAGTAGCGAGTAGGGAAAGGGAATAGTGTGGGGAATAGTGAGTAGCGAGTAGTGGGTGGTGGGTAGTGAGTAGTGGATAGTGAGTAGTGAGTCGTGAATAGTCAGCAGGGGGTAGTGAGAAGTGAATAGCGAATAACGAGTAGTCAGTAGTGGGTAGTGAGTAATGAGTAGTGAATACTCTTTGGGGCTGGGGTTAGTGGATGGGGTTCGGATTTGGGGTTTGGGTTAGGGTGAGGACTAGAGGTAGGGGTGGCGGGGGTCGGGTTCCGGAGTCAGGGGGCGGCGTGGCGAAAGGGGGGGGAGGGGGGGGGGGGGGGGGTCGGAACCCCCCCCCCCCCTTTTGAAAGGGGGGGGGGGGGGGGTCCCCGACGACGGGGGGGGAAGGGAGGGAAGGGGGGGAGGGGGGGGGGGGTCCCGACGACGGATCGGGAAGGGGGGGAGGGGGGGGGTTCCCGACGACGGATTGGGGAAGGGGGGGGGGGGGTCCTAACCCCCCCCCCTTGGGGAGATCCAGCGGCGCACCCTCATTGCTAATAGTATTACTGTTATTCGTAGTATGTTTGTATTGAGAGTATTGTTACTGAGATGTGTATTGCTTTTTCTTTTTATATATATATATATATATATATATATATATAAATATATATATATACTCACACACTAGAACCACGCGCGCGCTTCGCGCGCGCTTAGGTTCTAGTCGACCCCATCCCTTGAGGAGGTCCCGTATCCACTGAAGTGATTACCCATTGATGGTGTAAGCATGAGGTACAAGAAGCATCCATAATGCTGGCCGAACAGAACCCAAGCACCAACAATGACATATGCCCCTTAATCCGCCGACCCTGTCGGCGTGTGTGAGGCGCTCTTCCGTTTGTCGTCGTCGGTGTCGTCGTCGCCGTCGCCGTCGTCGTTGTCGTCGTCGTCGCCCTTGCCATCTTCCCCCTTTCCCTGGGCCCTCTTCCTCAACCGCTCCAGCCAATACGAAATCGAATCGAACAACGAAGGGACGCACCTTCCCTTGATCCCTTCCCCAGCGGGGGGGGTGTCCCGGGGCAACTCCCGGGGGGTGGTCCCGGCGGGTGATCTCGGGGGGTGGTCCTGGGGGGTGGTCCCGGGGGGGGCCCTGAGGCCCGTGGGGCTCCTGTTATAATAACAGGAGCCCCACGGGCCCCCCCCAGAATATCGATCACGAATATTTTGCCGATCCCGAAAATGTGGCGGAGGGTCCCCGGGACCCCCCCAAGAACCGGGGGGAGAGAGCCTCTCCTCCCTTCCCCCCAGCGTCCCCGCTTTGCCCCCCCTTCCAAGCGTCCCATGCTCTACCTGTCCACAGGAGGGAGCCCCCCCCACGGGCCAGTCCCCCCCTCCACAGGGGGGAGCGACCCCCCTTGGTCGTCGTCGTCGTCGTCGCCGCCGCCGTCGTCGTTCAGGGTCGGCGGCACCGGCAGTAAGGCCTCTCCAGTATTCAATTCGAAGCTATGCAAGCCAGTTTAGCCAAACACAGGCAAGGCTATGAATGCAACGCAAAGCAAAGGAAAGCGATGCTCATAAGTGCAATGTGGATCACGAAACAATGCAATTGCACATGCAACGGAAAGCCGCCCAGTGGAATGCAATGCAATACAATGCACGCACGATAAGACAAAAGACCGAGAGAGTCCGAGGCGTCACGGAACTCAGAGATCCCAGGGACGAGCCGCCCTGGGAAGAGCCCAAGAGGACCCCAAGGGGAGCCCAAGACAGGGTCAAAGGGCACCCAAGAACATCCAATGAGTTCTCCGAGAGAGGCTAAGAGGGGCCCAAGCGTGGCCCCGAAAGAGCTCCAAGCAGGCTCCAGAACGAAGCACAGGAGGGCCCCAAGAGGCGCCCCAAGAAAGCCCGAAGATAACGACAGAAAGAGAGGGTCCAAGGAAGTGCCTCCTCAGCGCGACAAAAAAACGCAGAGGCCCACAATGAGCCCCAAGAAGGGCGTTCTCAACAGCCCCATCCCTTGAGAGGGTTACAGCTCCACTGAAGCAGTGACCCACAACTGGCTTGAGCTCGAGGTGAAAAAGTACCGATCATGCGAATGGAAGCGAGACCTACGGCCCCAGATGAAGGCGGGGTTCACATGGCGCCCCCACGTCAATTTCGGCACGGCACTCACACGGATCTTGTCCCCCTGGGAGCTCCTCTTTCGGGTCCAGGGACAAAGTTCGCACGGCGTCGCTCCGCCCATCTCGGCACACCCAACACACGAATCGTGCCCCAGAGGGATGTCGTTTCACGTACGGCCTTAGTGTGGGGATTCGCATAACGTCACGTCCCCCCCCACGCGGATGTCGACTGTCTCCTCACACGAATCGTATCAACAGGGAGCTCCACCGACGGTTCCAGAGCCAACGTTCGCATCCCGCCGCCCCGCCCATGGCAGTAAATACACCCCTGACCTGGATCGTGAGTTCGGGGCGTCTTGGGTGCTTCTGTGGGCCACGCGGCATGTTTCTGTGAGGCCTCTGAAGCCCTGAGATGGATCGTGAATCGGGAGCCTCTTGAAGCCTTTTTCTGGGAGCCTCGTGCAGGACGTCGAAGCGAGACCTCCCATACGCTTACGGGTGACTACTGGGAAGCCTCCTGGGGCCGTTTTGGGAGCGTTTGGGGAGTCTCTGGGGGCCTCTTGGGACCTTCTTGGGGGTCCTTTAGGGGCTCTTTGGGGCTCTTTGGGGCCCTCTTGGCCCGTCCCGGGGCCCTCTTGGACCGTCTTGGGCGCTTAGGCCGTCTTGGGGCCCTCTTGGGGCCCTCTTGGGCCGTCGAGGGTGCCTTCTGTTGCCCTCTTGGGGCTCCCTGGGGACTCTTTTGGGAACCTCTGGGGACCGTCGTGGGCCGTCGGGGGGCTCTCATGGGCCG